TATATATATATATATACATATGTATATATATATGTATGTATGTATATATATATATGTATATATATACATACATATATATATATATATATACATATGTATATATATATGTATGTATGTATATGTATATGTATATATTTATGTGTGTTTTAAGCCCTTCCCACACTCTTGCAATATTGTAAACAATGTTTGTAAACGCTCTAAAAGAGCGCAGGATGTCATGATTTCACTTGGTCACGCCCACTTCTCTGCTGCACAGCAGAGATGAGCTGATCAGCTGCAGGAGGAAGCTTCTGCAGCTGTGCGCTGCACCCAGACCTGTGCACCTCTGACGCAGGTGCTAAATAATTTAAATATAATTTATTTTGAATAAACATCCATGCTGATCGTGCGGCTCATCCATCAGCCAATTGTGTGTCATGTCCAATTTTACTTTGAAAAACTGCGATAGAGCGAGTCCATGAAAACCATCCGCAAAGTAGCAAGGGACTACTGTACTCCCAGACATGTTGGCATGTGTTAGCATGTGTTGGCGTTGTTAGCATGTTAGTGTGTGTTAGCATATTACATGAAGGTCAAGGTTTCTTTGTCATTCACATCATATGTGGTGCATGTGTTATTAGTGACTTCAATAATGTATTAATGACTTGATTACTAACATATTAGTGTGTGTTAGCGTATTATATAAAGGTCAAAGTTCCTTTACTGTCATTCACATCGTACTGTATGTGGTACATGAGGTATTAATGACTTGATTACTAACATATTAGTGTGTGTTAGCATATTACATGAAGGTCAAGGTTTCTTTACTGTCATTCACATCATATGTGGTAAGGTAGTCCCTCGTTTATCACAGGGGATCCGTACGTACCCTGAAGACCCGCGATGAGTGAAAGACCGCGAAGTAGGAATAGCAGTACAAGTAGTTTATTTTAGTATTTAAATATATATATATATATATTTATATTAAGGTGTTTTAAACCCTTCCCACACTCTAGAAACATTGTTTAGAATATTGCAAAACTCTATAAGAGACAGCATGTCATGATTTCAGCTCCCTGCCTCCGCTGCTCTCAGCCACCTGCTCTTGGCCACGCCCACTTCTCCACTCTGCTCGGTGAACAGCTGATCAGCTGCAGCAGGAAGTTTATCCTGCAGTGTGGGCTGCATAAAGGTGCAGCAGGTGCTAAATAAGTTAAAACAATTTATTTTAAATAAAAATTCCATGTTGATCGTGCGGCTCATCAATCAGCCAACTGTGCGTCAAGTCCGCTCTTATTTTGAAAAACAGAGAGCAAGTTTGCGATAAACAAACTGCGAAGTAGCGAGGGACTACTGTACATGTGCTATTAATGACTTAATTACTAACATGTTAGTGTGTGTCAGTGTGTGTTAGTGTGTGTCAGTGTGTGTCAGTGTGTGTCAGTGTGTGTCAGTGTGTGTAGTGACTGAGTTTGAGAAATAAAGACAGTTTAATGAAATTAATATAAACTGAGCTGGACTCACTTTATTCTGTGTGTGTGTGTGTGTGTGTCTGTCTGTGTGTGTGTGTCTCTGTCTGTGTGTGTGTGTGTCTCTGTGTGTGTGTGTCTCTGTCTGTGTGTGTGTGTGTGTGTCTGTGT